AAAAAACCAATCGCTATACTTATCAACGACATAAGTACAAACTTTGCTATTACTGTGAACGCAAAGTATCATGAAGAGATGGAAATAAAAGGAAAAACAAGTAATGATGTACACAACTAAACACATATGAACGACATAGACGACTTAAGCACAAAAATCCTAGGGATTTCATTAGGCAACAAGGATGGTGAAGGATGGTGCAATTAATCAACATTTGCTTTAACATAACCAATTTAATTTCATTTAGGACAAAATACTTATCAAATAATGTCATTATATCTATTATTTCATTACTCTATTTTAATATTATAAAATGAATGGATTTTATCAATTTATGAACAATGTAGGATCTTATACATACAAAGGAGATTTTAAATCACTTCTCTTTGATTTACTTGCATATTTTTTTGGATGGTATCTAAAACTTTCAAATTTAGGATATAATATGTAGCACCTCAATGCATTATCTTTATTATCTTATATTGTAAAACATTTTTTTAAAAATCATATATTTTAATTAACCACAGAAGTTTGTTTAAGTAGCTTCAATTAATTTCAATCCGATTGCATATAAAGAAAATTCCTCTTTGTATTGGGGTAACTTTTTTTTAATAATCGAAATTATTTTATTTATTTTCGAATTTTCAAATCATGGTTTAGCATTTTGTGTGGAGTTTGTATAATAAATGGCTTTTCCTGCTTCTTCTAAATGTCGTCAAGTTAATTGTGGCAGTATAAACGCGCTGTTAGGTATCGAAATTTTTTTTACTAACTTTATAAATATATAATATTTTTAGTTAATTTAATTTTGATTTCCATGATTTTAGTTGAATAATTGAAAAATAATAAATTTTTATTGTTTTCTTTTTATTTGAATAATTACTGTAAATACAATAATTAAAATTTGCAATTATTGTTGCGCAATCTTCATGAAAATGGAAATATAAAATTAAGTTAATGAATTCCCAAGAAAATAATAAATTTAAATATTAAGTTGAAAAGCACCAACAACAACAGGAAGGTTAAAATGAAAAAATGCAAAAAATTACACAAAATCCTGCACAGTTTTAAGTTGAACTGGATGGAATATTCAAAAGAGATGAAAAGTTTATTTTTGCAAATATTTGGAGCAAGTATGGCGCTCGAAAAGCATTTTATTGGACCCACTGAAAGTTGCGAAGGAACTGTAAATGGTGGCACATAAATTATGCATATTTAGCAGTAAAATTGAAAACTAATTAATTGCACTTGTAGTCTGAAGAGTTGCCAGCAAGGCACAGAGAAGAATACTCGAAATGCGGATACTCACTGTACTTCGGCTTGCATGGTTTGTTACACTGCCGCCAGTGTTGCTGGAGTATAAGTAAAATATTAAAACTTTTCTTAATTGCTAGCATCAAGTGTTTTTAAATTGCTTTGGGCCATAATTATGGTCAGAAAGCGGCTTGAACGAGTTGGCAACATTTATTTATTCCATTTTTAATTTTTTTGTTCTTTTTTTGAGTTGAATTGCAGAAAAAAAATGTCTTCTGGTCCACTATTGCCACTAGCGAATTAAAAGGAAATAAAAACAAGAAACTTTTTCTGCAGACTGTACTTTCAAGTTATTATGACACACTTATAGGTGTTGCTTGGATTAATTCCAAAGAACTTTTTTCTCAGCGATTTATTTGACTTTTATCGGAAAATATTTGTTCCCCATTCTTAAAATTAAAATGTTAAAAAAGTAAATAATTAAAAAGATTGTGAAAATACTGCTTAAAAATGATTAAATTTTAAATTAAATTAATATGTTTCTTTGTTTTGTTATATGCTCATGATCTATATCTATAAAAAAATATGTTGTTATGTCCTTATTAAGATATTTCATTAGATGCAAATCATTCTGATTAATTTTATTGAAATTAAATTGAAACTAATTAAAATTTTATGATTCTTGATTATTTGACAATATAATTGATTTATTAATATGCATACAAATAGTCTTACACATTTAAACATATATTTTCAATAAAGAATTTATTTACTCATATGTAATAAATTTTTTATGTGGTTAGAGGCATTTTAAGTAATTTAATTATTAAATATTAATTTATTCATTAAGAGTACTTCATTTCGAAATTATAACTTTTGTTAATATATTTTCTGTTGATATTAAAATTATAATTATTTTTAAAATAGTTCTGTGAATGAGTTTGAATTTTCGCTGATTTTCCTTGTATACACAAATCATTCGTTTTCTGTTGAACATGTATAATTACTATTGAATAATAGGCTATTCTTACTTAATTATTTATAATGGACATATATAAAAATCAATATATTCATTCACTCTTTGACTTCATATATTGAAGTCATTGAAATTGATTCAGAAATTTTTTAAAGAGGTTTTCGAACAGAAGTGAAAAAACAACAAAAATTTATTTTTTAAATTATTTAAATTAATTGAATTTTTGGTTGACCATACAGCTGTTTCGAGTATTGCCAAATACCCCTCATCAGTGGTCTTGGAAATAATTCTTGTATTTAATTATTCGTAAATAATTATTTTTTGAGACTGCAAGTACCAGGAATCGAACTCGGGTCCTGCCAAATATGAAGCTCAGAATCAGCGCACCTTAACCAACTGATCCAAAGCCGTACTTGACTTTTTATGTTCGCATATTTTTGCTGGAGTTTTGTTACTTTTGCTATGAAAGTTTTTATTAACAATTTTACTTGCTGTATTTATATATTAGAACTAAATCATAAACCAGCTGTAGAATAATTGAATTAATTAATTAATTATATTTTTTATTTTTAATTGTTAAATTTCAAAACTATTCTATTATAAATT